GACTACTTAGATTGACATGTGCTACACTACTTGTGCCTTAATTCGATAGATAACTCAGTAGAGTTCTTATACTTACCAGGTTACCCTAGGAGAGTGTAGTATATACTCCCCTAATCTTTCTATATCTCACACATTTCTAGACTAGGCCTTTTCAGTAACTTATGCCAAGTCTGAAGACAAATACTTGCGAGCTGAGACCACTACAGTTACCTACTACTACCCTTGTAGAGTTCACCCAAATCCCAATAACTACTTTATGGACTCACTCCCATATCTCCGGAAACCCAAACTCCCAATTCAATAACCCAGAAGGGTGAAACCCTTTCTCTGGTTTTCTGATGGCCTGGTTGGTATAATGCTTTGCCAAACATCTTGGTCCTGTCTGATTTTCCAGTATCTGGTTGATCATCCTTTACATAGTAACTGTCAAAGATCTGTGCTATCTCTCTACTCAGGTCTTGCCAAACAGACTCATATTCTGTAAATTCGCTAGATTTATCTGGTAGCTTCACTTGGGTTTTGTGTAACTCATACATCACACTACATGTTTCACTACCTCCCAGTACAAGCTGGTATGATCACCATTACAGGTTCTATAACCATACATTTTTTATAAATTCGAATTTTCGTTGCCAGTAGGATTCAAACTCTAGTCCTGCTGCTTGCGGGTGTGACAACTTGCTAACTTCACTAAGTCACCACACCCTAAATAGTGATTTTTTAATATTATTATATTTAATAAATTTGTAAAGATATAAATAGTACAAGATTTAGGTGCTGTACAAATTATACAAATTGCTAATAGTATTGCAATAAGTTCTGCTTTAAATAAGCATAATTAGTATTTAATTTATGCTTAAAATTAGTGTAGTATAATATTTTGGTAAATTTGTATCTATCTAATACTCATAAAGCAGTTAGGTGAACCAAAGTTTAGAACAAAGCTATTTGTATAAAAAGTGATTTTGAAAAATTAGATGTTAGAGTTAGCAATAGTTTAAAAAGTATTAGTAAGAAATCTAGATTTAAATATAGGTAGAATTAAAGCAGTATTATAAAAAATATTAGAAGTAATAGAATGTTAAAGGGTGCTAAATAGCTATAAAGTATACTAGTTTTAGAAATTAGTATAGAGTTTAATAGTTTTGTTTTGAGAATTATAAATGCAAAAGAATTTAGAAGCTAAATTAATAGAAATAAATAGTGTGTATTTGTTGACAATAAGTTTGGAATTAAAAGAACAACTAGAATATGGATTAAAATCAATAAAAGTTAGATATAATTTAGTAAATTGCGATTAAAAAGAGTAATACCAGTGTATGATAAAAACAAGACCAGATAAGGTGATCTGTCTTTTAGCATTATCTACTATTATCTGGTCTTTAATCCTACACAGAAATACCTTATGAAACAGAGACGCCTTATTTCTACTGTAAACACAAGGTTCCTTCAGATATCATGATTCACTGTTAAAAACGGATGACTTACGACCTACTGAACATGACTTTATCGATTGGCTTTATCCCCTTTCCAAAAAGTACTCAGAGTTACCAATACACACCTTCATTTAAGTTTGGAGTAGACATGGCAACGACCTTTCGCCCTTTACCCGGGGTATACGACGGCTTAAAGGGAACTAGGCAAAGGTTTAATGTGATCAAATCATCAAACTGACCCTAATCCTGCTCTTCCCCTCCAATTGGCATCCCAATTGGTTTCGTTCATTATTTAAGCCTTAGGTGAAGGTTGTTAGCTAAGACCACCATGTCCCATACAATGTGCCATGGAAAATCAAAACGCCTTTTTCTCTTATCAAACTCAAAAAATAAGCTGTGCCCAGGCCGCTTAGCTACTTTCGCGCTGCTAGGTTTTTACAATCTCGCAAAAATCAACCCTATTTATCTATCCCAATTAAATTTTAATTGAAACAACCGCTGTTACAACTTCCCATTTAATTATCCAGATAGTTACATTGGCCTCCAAATCAGTAAAAACAAGACCAACGGGATCTTTCCTCCAGTCACTACCTTTTCCCACTTCCAAGTATTTATGGATGAGACTCTTACGAAGTGGTCCGAGTCAGTCACTCGTCTTCTCTACCTACTGGTTTTGCTCTCGAAGACCAGAATCTCCGCTTGTAGGTGCAACGGACTATTCATAGACATCGACCAGGAAAAATAGCATCGTCTAGGTATTTTTTAACCCTTTCGTAGCAGAGTTGGAAATACTCCTTTCTCGGCCCACACACCGGCCGAGCTACTCCCTAATGTTCCAGCCTAATCCTGACATAACTAGAATTATTGCTTCCCTATAACCAGACACCAATTGTACTTCTCTTGAATCAATTGGTAAACAAAGAATCCTTTTCTGAACACTCGAACCATAATGTTTTCAGAGCTAAAACTCCTTACCAAGACTTCTATCTCAAACCACATAGAACTTCAACTTCCATCTCGAATTCATCTAACTTCACTTCAGTGCATATTTAATGAAAAGAGACGACCATAACCTTGGAAACCATTATACCCGCCAACCGAATTGGTACGAAACCGCTTAGTATTCTATAGATTTATACCAAAAATTATTGTCCATGCTCTTATGAGCATAAGTCGCGATCTCTTTTCAACACCTTAGATTAGAAAGACTATAGATCCATTTAATCTCTATGTGCAGGTCCATCTTGTTAAGATCCATAATAGTTACCACATTACGCCTCGCAACGTACTAAAGCTGTTTAAAAGCACTCAAGCTCGAACCAGAGCAAGCACAAACTATAAACAGGGAAAAATCAGTTTGTGGTATTAAGCGTAAAACCAAGTAAGATGATGTCAACCGACATAATGTCGGAAGCCTCACAAACTCGGTTAAAAGCTTAATACACTTTCATTATAACTTAAAAAAATCAGTCTTTACAACTTTCTTAAAAATAAAACTAAGATTTGTTTAGTAAAAATCTGCATAATATTGAAAATTACAAAAATAAAATTAGGATAGCTACGCGACGCAGTCGCGCTTAAACCAGGAACGTAGCATATAGGGGTTTTGTCTTGAAAATCACGTTATGGAACATAGTAAATTTACATATTTACATATGCACCAGGGCCACCGGTCGTTAGAAACACAAATGCTAGCCAAAATCAGCTAGTAAATTTCGCAAAATTAGTAAATCAGCCTAGTAAAAAGTTATACTTGGTAAGTATAATCTTAACGTATCCTTTTTTTTTCTTTTTCAGTGAATTCACCATTGATCATCTCTGGGTCATCATCTAACATACGCGTACAATTACGCATTTACGTAAATCAGTTTAACAAAAGCAATAGTCAATAAAAAAATATGACACTATTTTAGATGCTACAAAAACCGAAGACCCTGCTGTATTCATTCACGATTTATATCCGTGATCACCGGCCAATCAAAACACCGGATTTGCACACTTGCATTCTTAACCATACACTTCGTAAACTTTATATGTAAATCAGGGTTACAAAAACTGTATCTTTAAACAACAAATTTTTCACAGTCACGTGTTACACTCAAAATTTTAAAGTTCGTTTATATTAGGGTTAGGGTTGATATTAAGATAGTTTTTATTTGACAATTCGCGAATGAATGAGAATGAAAATTGGGGATAAGTTAATTATAAAAATTACTAGTAGTACTAAAATCTAGATTTCCCGCGATTTATAATAAAATATCATAAAATTTTGGTACCTAATTTTTGAAGATATATAGAATAATCAGTTTGGAATAATTTTTAAATTTTTTTTTATAAAAAGATAGAAAAATTCATATATCTATTGTAGGTTAAATTTTATCTATTGTTATATTTAAATAAATTATACTTACTAGATCAGAAACGTAGATTTGAAATTGCAATAAATTTATATATGAATTTTATATAGTAAATTCTCATTCATTCGTGAATTGTCAATTAAGAGCGTATTTTTTTTTTTAAAAAAAAAAAAATTGTGTAAAAGAGTTATTTCTAGTATAGTAACTATTTGTTTTTTTATTTATTATATTATATGCTTACAATAAATCAAAAATAAAGTTACAGCTCACCCTTATTATAGCGGACCCCTTTAAAGCGGATCTCTCGTTATAGCGGTGTGATTCTCTGGAAAGCGGATCTCTCGTTATAGCGGTGTGATTCTCCGGAAATCCAGATGTGTAAAAATTTACATGTGACATATCGTACGATTAATACAGTATAATGCTATAGTGGATATTAGCCATTATAACATATGGAGCTTCCCTGATCAATCCGTTATAGCGAGAGTGAACTGTATTTCGTCACGCTAAGGTTTGTTAAGTTGGATACTGAATTTAATAGTAAAATCCGTAGCGGTAGAATATCCACTAAATTTAATATGAACACAGATAACGGATCCAAGCTCTAATCGGACTCGTAACTAATTATGCATGAAACTTTATGTGTCTATGATTTTTACTATTGCAAAGATTTATACTTTAAAAGGGAAGTACATATATGACTTTCCAGACCAATTATTCTTATCCAAATGCCATCGTGTTACATTAATTTAAACAATTTTCTATAAAGAGAAAAGTCGATTTCCATAATAAGACGAATAAGACGATAGAATATAAATAATTCAAATCTGTTCAAACAGCGCGATTAACGAGTTTGAACGACACATTGGCGTGGAAAGGTCAATATATATTTCGTGGTAATCATCTTTACTATCTACTGTAAGACATATAAAAACCCAATGATGACGTTAATAGGCATGTTACATTTGTATCATAATTTATTAGATACTTTTTTAAATAATAATAATACGTAATAGTAATAAGAATAATAATAATAATAATAATAATTTGTTTCATTTTATTTCTTTCTTTTCTATACCTTTAAATTGCACCTTGTTGAATACGTAGTCAGTCGTCAAACACTTATCTCAATTGCTACGCTTTGTAGTGTCCTGAACCCTGATGTATGATACTATTTCTGTGTTCATGACATAACAAAAGGCAAGTCATGATATGGAATACATCAGCGTCACATATAAAATTAATATTTCTCATCTTAATACGACTAAACATTAGAGCTGGCCTCATTTTTGCCATTGACGACATAAAATTTAACGATGCTGATGGTATTAATCTAAATAGAGGTATAGTTGATGACACACCTACACGAAACATTTTTAATAATAAAATGGTCAAACGCAATTATAAACTTTCATCTAAAAGAGTTGATGATAGTTTAGCGTTTATTAACTCAAGTGACGACGATATGATACCAAATGACTTGATCGTAGTAAAAACCAAATCAAAGAGAAATAGACTGTCTCGTACAGGTATTACAAGGTCAATAAATCTAAAAAAACGCGATGAGAAAAACAAACATTATAATTTAGGAGACGACCGCAGACATTATGGAGACGACCGCATGATCGAAAAAACGTCTACCTTATTAAAGCGTACAACACCTCCATTTATGTTTACGAGCACATCTACATCTACATTTAAATCCACATCCATATCAATACCCACACCTACATTTACCTCCACATCCATATCAATACCTGCTTCCATACCCACATCAATCCCACTATTTAATTCATGGATTGACATGTGTCCAGTATCATCATCATGTTCTAAACCACCTTGCAACCTTATTTCATGCAATTCTACAGCGCCATTCTGTATTGTTGATGAAAATGGATTTCGTTGTGATGCTACAAATCAAAACTCATGGCGAATTAACAGTGATAACGGTTTAATATTTTCTGATTTAGGATTTGAAGGTGATAAATGTCAAATGTTTATACCACCTAAGAATCCAGATGAAGCGACTCTTTTAATTGGATTAATAGTAAATAGCTCTTTTGGTACTCAGTACTTACCAGACATTACCGGAACATGGGAAAGACCTTATGATTTTTTAGGAAATTGTAAACAGCCATTTTTTTGTGACACATCAATTAGTGGAGGTATCACAACATCAAAGACAATTACTAATGGAACCTGTCAACTAAAATTTAGTAGAGCAACTCCTTGTTTTAGTGCTAATCAATGCGATACACATAGATGTACTAGTGATTTCAAAAGTGATCAAGGAGCTCCTGTAGAATATGATACTGTCATAGCACCAAACGGAACACGTACTTTGAGTGACAAAATTTGTGCTGCACTTGATGATTTACAACGACCTTCTGTAATCTCTCGACCTCTAAATCTTCCTACAGAAGCAACTAGTACACTTGAAATTATTTTATTATCTGTTTTAGTTACAGGTGCTGCATTTATCATCTTCATTATATTCATAAGAATTCGAAAATATGGTTTAAGAGGGTTTTTTGGGTCTTTATTTAATAATAATAATAATAGTAATAATAATAATACTATTAATAATCTTTCAAATCTTTCAACACGTTCTCAACAAGTTATTATTGATGATGATAAGCCTAATAATGATGATGGTTTGCGTGATAAAACTTTATCATCTCGTAAAGGGATTTTAAATTTATTTTCCACGAGTAAAAATGAAAATTTCGGCACAACTTCTAGACATGTTAGTTTTAAAGGAACTAATGATGATAATGAACTAAATTCTTCGGAATCTGCTATGGCATTAATACCACCTGCACCTGCTATTAAAAGGTCTTCTCTTTTTAATAATTCTAACGAATTATATAATCATGGGAATGAAATAGACCTTGTTTCAAATTATTCTAATCGTACTAGTCTGGATTCAAGTAATCCAAGAGGTAGTAATGTTGGAAGCATAGGTATAATCAATATGACCAACGTTGGAATTGGTAGAAATAACGATAATTTATCAGCTCAAAATCCTCTTGAAATTTTAAAGTTAGCAAGAGTTCCTTCACAAACTGTCAGAATTTTTGATCCCGATGCATACCTTCAATTACAACAAAGTCAAAATATGTTCACTCCCCCTGAACAAAAAATTGACCCTGAACAAAAAATTGAAGATCAATTTACAGAAGCATATGAAACAAATCAAAGAATTAAGACTCGACTTGAAAAAATAGAGAATGAAATAACGCGTGAAAATGCATTAAATGCAACACTTGAATTAGAAGATATGGTTATTGTCAAAAATCCTGATGAGGAAATGTTAGAAGAAAAGTTGCGACAAAAAAGACGGCAAAGAAAGTTGGAAATGTTATATAATCAACAATTTAAAGGAAATAACATGTAAAAGTAACAAAGGTCATTGAGATTAAGTGCCTTAAAATTTTTAAACTCATTGTAAATTAAAAATTTGGTTTTTTTTTTCTATAAATTTATTTTGCCCGAGTATAAAAATGTAAAAGTTTCGAGTAATATTTTAATAAAAAGTCATCACGAAGTTGTACCAAACACCTTATATTTATTAAATACCAATATTAGATAAGTATATTTATAAAATACAGTATTTAAAATTTTAAATACTAATTAAATATTAAAATTTATATTTATTAAATACTTAATTATTTAATTACTTTATAAATACTTTTTTTAAGTACTTATAGTGCTTTGACAAACATTGTGATGAAGTTACTTTAATAAAAAGGATAGATTATCACTTCAGAGGTGAATTTTGAAATTAATTTTACAAAATCATTTAATTAAATTGGTCATAAAAAAAACCCCAAAAATTATTAAAATATATATTATTTTAATAATAATGCCCCTGTATACAGTGTGCATCTACTATACTTGATATTATAGTTTGGGTTTGTTTATATCCAAATCCCAAATTCTGGCCAAACTAATATTCCAAAAACTTCATTTAAACAAATAATATATATTCTTATAGCTAAGTACATATAATATATTTGCAAAATATTATGATATTATTTTTTTGGTTTTAATTTTTGTAAAATGCAATTGTTTAAAAAGTATAGCTCCTGCATCATCAATTTCGTGTAACATATAATTTTTTTTTAATGTTAGAATATTTAAAGATTAGAGTTAAGCATGGCTTATAGCAAATTTAGCTAATATTGCAATTTTATTGGTTAATCAAAGAAGGCACAATGTGCACAGGGCATCATCTAGTCTTGTTTCTTAATAATTGTTTTATTATTTTATAAACATACATAGTAAATAATACAAGTAAAATTAATATTCCAAAAATTCCAAAATTAATTTTAAAATCTTTTAATATCCTATTTAGTTACTTTTTCCGATATAGATTGTTCAAGGGTGGTGGTAGTACCACAGCCTTCTGCTAAATTTCTAACCAAAGTATCTCGTCGTCTTTTTAAAATTTCATTCTCATTCAATATATTCTCTTGTTCCCAAAGCTCGTGCCCAGGTACCAAAACTGTAGTGGATGTTGATTTTTGTATATTATCATTTAATTGTGGTAATATGTTTGGAACTGATTGTGATACATGTAAATCATTTATTGTAGCGGAATCTTGGACTTGGTCTGGTTCTTGGAAAACTAAATCTCCATTTTCATTTTCTTTAAAATTAGTAATACCACTATTTTTTGAATGACGTGAAGTGAATGTCAAACCTTCATCTTCATGAATTAATTCTGTACAGTTTGTGTTTATATCGTTCGATAATTTATTTTGGCAACATTCATGTAACCATAAAGCACAGACACTGATGGCACCTTTATTCTCTGGCAATAGTGATGGCATCTGTAAAAATGCATGACTAGCACCTTGAATAATTTTCACTTCAACCCAGTCTTCAGAATCTTCCGTTGTAACAGTACCATTGTTCATATTGCTTATTCGTAGCCCTTCACCAAATCTCCCACTATTTCCTAACTGCTTTTTCTTTCTCTTAGCCTCACGTATAAGTCCTGCAAATACAACAGTATCATCAACGAGCGGATCTTTTTCACCGCACATTAGATACGTTTTTGGAAATTGCGCTAGCAATGCTTCAGGTCCAACAATAGGAGAAAGCAAATAATCACGGCTGAAATCAGGGTAATTATTAGGACCAATATAGAGAATTGCCAATGCACGCATCTATAAAAAAAATAAAAAAATAATAAACAAAACTAAAATTTAAATATATATATATATAAAATAC